TCACCCCCAGTGTGAAAACCTCAATTATTTTTAAATATATTTTGTATACTCAACAGTCACTTTAACATGTACTTCTGCAGTTTTATTAATCTTTGTGGTTGTGTTACTTATTATCAGTATATTAATTATCAGTGTACTGATAAAAATACACACAAAACTATAATTCATTAAATTAATTTTCTCTATAATAGAGCATTTTGTTTATTTACATCTTAACATTTATTGGTGCAGAAAAATATTCGGAATTCCCTTTTAAATTGCATGGCATGCACAAGCGCCACCTTGTGGTCAATTCTGAACATTTGGACCATTTCAATGTAATAAAAGGCCTCACTGAGCCAAGTACCACTCCAGGCTTACCTGGGTCAGACCAAAAGGAGCATTCATACTGTCATATTGTCCAGACCATTCTGCTTATACAGCACCTGTAAAGGGCCTGCTGGAGTAGGGGTGGGCAATATGACAGTATTTTACCATTATTGTGATAAATTGTTGCCACAATACACTTTTCTGACTGTATGAAGGATATGATCAGCACTTCTACAGCACCAAATGACTGCATGTACCATAAAAAAGACCAAAGATACCGTGTCTGTAAACAACCAGTCCATATTAACTCAATGTGCTGATTGTTTTATATCCTTTTATAATGCGACACTTATGTTTTCTGTCTTTTTTGTCATTTCCAATATACTGTGCGTACCACAATCCTGAAAATGTCTTCAAGTATAGTCAGACTGTATTTTTTGCCGTTTCACAGTATAAAGTTTATACCCATGTACACTCAGATACTCAGTCTTAAAGGAGAAGTCCACTGATTTGGCGAATTTCTGATGTATGTCAATTATTGAGATGTCAGTGAAGTCACATCTGTGTAATGGTTGGTTGTAGACAATCTTACTGACTCTATTTCTTTACAGTGGTGCTGATAGGAACCAGGGGTCGGAATGTCTACAACACAAATACAGCCGCTTTATTACTATCCAAAACCACCAGTGAATAAGTTTATATTAATTTTTCTTTGGGTGCTATTTGCCTTACAATGCCCTCCATGTACCCCTCCACCAGGAATGGATTAAAAATATAGATGTTTTAGGCCAAAATCTTCTCGCAACTATCATAAAACAATGTCTCTGGCATCAGGCGGAGTATTCATAACCATGTTATACAATAACTTCCTGTGAGGGAGCTTCAGACATCTGGTTCCTATCAGCACCACTGTGAACAGTTCTGACTGGCGAAGTTTCTCTACAGTGAATCATATCAAACCTCTCTGAATGACTTTGCTTACATATTAACTATTTAATTATTTAAACTTGCTGCTAAATGAGTGGAATTCCCCTTTAATGGAGCTAAAGTACGCTAGAAGTGAGTAGTTGTCTTGGCCTTTTCTCTAAGCCCCTCTAATCCTGGTAAACCTGTGTGGAATGTGGAAGTGCTGCAGTGGCAGTATAACAGACATGATGTTCGAGGAACAGGAACCAATGCAGTGGATGAACCAAACCACAGAATGTAATTCAGTTAACAGACAGTGCTGATAGATGTTCTTGGGGGTCAGTTTGGTCACAAACTTTCTTAAAGCGCTATACACGCAAAGGAGGATTCCACCAATTTTTAAAATTTCTGCATAATTAAATGTTTAGGATGTTATTATGACCCTTATGGTGCATCTCGCTGTTGTCAAAGGAAAACTTCATTTCTCCATTTTCTGTTTTTCAGTTTTTGACATAATTTGAAAATGCTTGTTGCTCTTTACATTGTTAGTAAATTTCATGATGAATGGACTAAAAAAAATGGCCCAAAATTACTTGGAAAGGTGTCTGGTTCCATTGACTTACATTAAAAGTAAAGTATGTTTTTTTCCTTCTCCTGTAAAGTTACCATTTTGGAGATACGAGGTTTTCTTCAGACAAAATCCATATGTCTGTTTTTGCTGTCTTGCCCTCTTGTGATTTACCTCCTCTTAGTCTATCTCACTATACTGCATCTCATCAGTAGATGGCTAACGTAAACAACTTTATCTCTTTCCTGCTGTATCTTCCTATGCTGCCTTTGAAGAATGGCAATTCAAGCCTGATTAACGAAAGGAATAAACGTTGATATTTTGCCATCTTATCTGGACTCATGGTGTTTTGGTCTGTTTTTAATACGCTGCCTGATATGAAATATTGTTTTACAATGGTTATTAAGACACAATATTGGCTTGAAACATATTTTAAAACCACAGTCATGGTAGAGGGGTACATGCAGGGTGTTGTGATGTAAATAGTCCCCAAACAAACTTATTTGTTCATACATACATCATCTAAACCGCTTATCCTTCTGGGTCACGGTGGGGTGCTGAAGCCTATCCCAGCTGTCAGTGGGCGGAAGGCAGGATGCACCCTGGACAGGTCGCCAGTCCATCGCAGGGCAGACAGACAGACACATTCACACCTAGGGGCAATTTAGCATGTCCAATTAGCTTAACTGCATGTTTTTGGACTGTGGGAGGAAACCCACGCAGACACAGGGAGAACATGCAAACTCCACACAGAAAGGACCCTGGTTGCCCGGCCGGGAATCAAACCCAGGCCGTTCTTGCTGTGAGGCAACAGCGCTACCCACTGTGCCACCATGCTGCTCTTATTTCTTCAGATTTTCAATAATTTTACCATTACATTACGTATTATACTGGGTGTAGTGTAGGATCACTGGTGGTTTTGTAAAGAATTATCAATGTAAAGAAATCAGCAAGGAGTGGTCAAGTTTCTCTAAAATGATCCATTTCACATCAAACCACTCTAAATGACTTTTACAGACATTTTGAAAATTCAGTGGACTTCCACAAGGGCTCAAATTTATCTGTGAAATGTGTATACTCACATTCTTAGCTTCATTTTTTTTATGAAGGAAAGAAAAACATTTTTATTTTTATTTCAACAGAGCAATCACTGTCACAACATGCTCTTTTTGCAGCATTTAAAAACACTAGCTGCCCTTAACATGCAAACATCCCAAGATAAACAGACCAAAAGAAAAATCATTTGGAATAAAATCTTGAATTAACCTTTTTCCTTCTTCTATAAAGTTACTGTTTCTGATCCATTTGTAGTGACGTCAACAAACTGGAGTGAAGGATACAGCATGCATCTGACTACTGAAGTTAGTTTAAAGGGCCCATATCCTACATTTTTACCTTTCTGTTTTATTCCTCTCCTCCCACATCTTGTTTCATTTCTAATGTTTGTGTGGTTTTATGCACCAAAAACAGTCATATTTAATTTTGATATGATCACTTTCCACCCTTCCTTCATCCCTCAGAATTAAACAGGTTGTTTTGCTACTATGCCTTTAAGACTGATGTATGTAAATGATCCTTGTCTGAATGGCTGCCTTGTATTGTGCCTGATTCAAGAGCACTCCAGGTTGAATACACCTTACAACTTCAAGGTAAGACAGCTGCAGACTGTATAGGTGGGTATTTGGAAATGCAGTGTTTTTTCATGAAATCACAAAAACAGTGAAAACAAAATTCCATTTATGGACTGAGGAATGTGTCCTTTATTCCAAAACAGTAAGGAAAATTTGGCTTTCCATGATACGTGCCCTTTAAAGTACACCCACTGGTGTTCAATGACGCACTAACAGCTTGTATGATCTCCACAGAAAAGCGGTGACCAGTAGAGTTTTGTTCAACCACCATGGAGCTTCATGCTGTACAACGCTGTGCAAACATATCTGCATGAACAGACCCTCCTGATGAAGCTGCTGCAGACTCAAACTATTTAATCACAGCCATTGCTTCTCCTGCTTTTCCCCTTCTCTCTATCTTATACTCATGGTCAAACCTTACTCCTCAGCACATTTTGCTCTCGTGTTATTGTTTTGCTACCTGGTGTACCCAGAGGATTGGCTCCCTTTTGATTCTCGGTTCCTCTCAAGGTTTCTTCCTCTGCTCTTGGGGAGTTTTCTATGCCACTGTCATCACCGTCTTGCTCATGGGGGCTCGGACCTGGATTTTTCTGTAAAGCTGCTTTGTGACAACACCTGTTGTAAAAAGCGCTATATAAATAAACTTTGACTTTAGAATGGGACGCTTAAGGTCACCATGCTCTTCGCCAAATGCCAGCTAGTAGGGTTTAAAGCCTTGCAGCATTGGGCTGTGGAGCAGTGGAACTGTGTTCTCTGGAGTGATGGAGCTCCATCCAATACCCTCGTGATGAGTTAGAATGATCCAGAACTGATCATCCCACATCAGTACCTGACCTCACTAATGCTCAATTCAAATCCTCACAGCAATGTTCCAACATCTACCCTGTTAGAAATAAAGGTCCTGTGCAGGTACATTTTTCATTCATCAAGGTACAAACAATGTAAATGTTCCCTCAAAGGTACAACAGTGGTTTAAAGGTCTAATTGTGAACCTTAAATATGTTTTTCCAGGTGAAAAGTACATATTTGTACCTTTTCATAAGCTAAAGTTTTAAAACAGAATAAAATAAGTCGAGACGGGGTGTGTGGAGTCAATACAACTTAAAATATGATTTCAATGGATTATGGTACAATTATGTTCCCTGACTAAAGGTACTGAGATGTACCCTTGAAGGAACCACCACAATGACATGGGGGGTACTGCCCCAGTGACAGTTTCATACCTTTATTTCTGAGAGCCTAAAGGCTTCCCAGGAAAGTAGAGGGTATTAATAGGTAATAAAGTCCCTATTAATCCCTTTCATTTCAGAAGAAATGCTGGCTCAGCAGCTGACTACAAATGTTTGGACATATAGTACAAAAGATAATTAACCAATACTAACTTTTACACCACTCTACTTGCTCAAGAACGAGGGCCTGGACATGATCACAATATACAAAAGTGGCAGGTTGGTTCTTAATGCTTAAAATTCATCTTCTGATCTCTATTCAGAATTGCTTGAGTAAATGGCAAAAATATATTTGACCGTTCAGTTGGTTTGCCTTCGATAACAAATCAGTCACAAATGACACCACGTACTGTGCAGTGAGTTAGTCAGAGTTAAAGTTTTATTAGTGTTATACTGAGTTCTGCTGCTCAAAATGAATATTTTAGAAGCATGATGCAAACACTCTAAACCCTTTTAGAGTCCTTTTTCAGTCTATTAAATCGACCGTGACATTCGGCTTGATTTCTCTGTTTTTTTTTTCTTGTTTGTTAAAGAAAAATAAGAAAATATAATCGACAGTACATTTAGGCACACTGTTGACACATACTGTACACTGATATGCACAATTAATCATCATAGATTCATATGTATGGGGATTTAGAAAACAGAATAACAAACAGAAACGAGCAGTCCTGCATCACAGAGAAACCATTTACTGAGTTTAAAGGTAGAGTTGGAGTGCGCAACTCAGTAAGAGAGGCGGGTCAAGCTGATGCTGGTGCTGCGGAGCATCAGTTTAACCAAATCACAGAAGGCTGTAGCTGATCAATAGCCACTCGTAGCAGACATTAGCCACTTACAGACCAATTAGGAGTGGTTACGACCACTTGGTGCTGACCAATCACGGCAAACGATAGCCACGCGGTGTCACAGCATGCGGGACGAGGATTCCATCCGAACTTGACCCTCATTTGAAGAAGTTACATTAAGTGCTATTTATTTAAAAAATGTCATTTTGCACTGGCAACCACTCTGCGGAGCACGAACCCAGAGATCATCCGACTGCTGCCTACAGTACTGTGCAAAAGTCAGAGACCAACTTTCATTATTTCTAGCCATTAAGTACAGGTTACTCATTTTTCTGGAGAAATTTATGAAAGATAATTTGCTTGCATAAGAAAGTCAAAGGACAATAAGGTAAATTACAAAACTGGGGTTCAAATAAGGATTAAAGCTACAGAGAAAATGGGACTCAGCAACCGTGTAGAACCTGGAAGACCATCAAAACTGTCCCTGTCAGATAAACAGCCCTGAAAGCTTTTATCTTTGAGAGAGAGGATCAAAAATCAAGCTGCTTCAGATCTGTAAACATCCACATCCATCCTTCCACTTGAGAAGACGACTCAGCGCTATGGGTCGGAAAGGATGTGTAGCCGTCAAGAAGAACCTCACTGAGAAAAGGAGACGGACACCTCAAACAAAGAAGCTGGACAATGGACTGACCACCCCAGAGTCCAGACCTCAACATCACAGAATGTGTTATTTAGATCGTGAAAATGAGGAAAATGCAACCAACTTCTAAGACTGAACTTTGGAGGTGTGGAAAAATATCCCTGCAGATTTCTTCCAAAAACTGAAAGTGAGTCTCCTGAAAAGAATGGAAACTAATAATAGCCAAGAGTGGACGCACTAAATACTGAAAAACCAATATTTTATTTAGTTGTTGAGGCTTCTGTGTAAAAAACAGACGTTTTTCCGCTTTTTTTCCTGGAAATTAAATAAATGAGTGGTGTTTAACTTTTGCACAGTACTGTATATGGATGGACTGTCCTCCATTCAGACTGAAGGGTCACCAGGTCCGATGCTGTAAAAGTCTATGACTCATCACTGAAATGATCTAATATACAGTTCATTATTAGGCACACTCTGCCTTTTCTGGACCACAAGCACAGGAACCCTTACAGCTGGAAAAGAAGGAAAAAAAACAGACCCAACATTCAGCTTTGCCTGTACATGATATGCTCACATGCACCAGTCGATCTCTACTGATTCAACAGAACGCGCTCTCCTTCTCCCACAGCGAGTAAGCCATGCACGGATGAATGAAATCCATCGTGAAGGAAACACTATGGTCACTGGGAGTAAGACAAATTAAAAACGCAAAAGCCAGACTTATAAAACAAGTCTTTAACATAAGCTGAGTGATTAACAACAACGGAATGTAGTCTGTCTGGAGTAGAAGACTTTTTTTTTTTTTTGAATATTTTTGGATTCTGTCATTCTCACATATCGTTGCCTCTGAATACAATTATTCAAACACATGCATTAAAGAAACAAAAATATTGCACAAAAAAATGAATTACATATTCGCCAAAATAAAATTTGGATTTGGGTATCTCTAATATATATTTGTGCACAATTTTTGGTAACACTTAACTGAAGTGCAGCATTCGTAAGGCTACACAACACCTACATTAGCCTTTTATGACAAACCTATATAAACATTTATAAGGGCTTATTCCAACAAGGGTCTGTAGTCAAAAAGGCTACTTTTGTCCATTTAGCCTTCATAAATAACTATGTAGGTGTCTGTCAGTTGTCACGAAAGCCTTATGTAGGGGTTGTGTACACTATAAACCTCCATGTTGAAATGTATTAACTGGACTGAGTGAAGAAAACTAAAAATATACACACTGAACTTCAACAATTTACAACGCACAATAGAGCTTATCGATGTAGTACATTTTGATTTAGTAGAGTCTTATTTGAAAACAAATCATCTGACACCTGAATAATATGAGTTTTACATATTAGAAGACAGAAATATTCACTTTACTAGTATTAAATATATTAACCATGCTAGTGTTTTGTTTTGCAGTTTACCAGCTCAGTCTGTATTACTCATAATAAAGGTAACTGTTGTAACTGCTGTACATCCAATCAGCTTTTGATTGGACTCGCATAAGCAGACCAAACCAATTCTGAGCGTTTTGTAACCAGCCGTTTGTTACTTATGGTGAAGATCCAATAAATGTTTTTTGATATCAACGTTCACGTACTTAAGAGAGACGATTCTTCAAAGGTTCTTCAGTAAAGGCAATGGTTCTAGCTTAAATGGTTCCTTCCATGGTGAAATCATTCTTCAGATTGATGGAGAATGTGTATAGGGTTCTATACAGAACCATTTTCGAAAAGGTTCCATATAGCATCAAAAAGGGGTCTGCTGTTACAATGTCAAGCTTGTAACAGTAGAAGAACCCTGTTTGGTGCTATACAGAAGCATTTTCAAAAAGGCTCTACATAGAACCAGTTACAACACATTCTCCATCAATGTGAAGAACCATTTCACCATGCCAAGAACAATTTAAGCATGAAATGGTTCTATATAGAACTAAATAGAACCACTGCCTTTTCTAAAACAGTGTTTAAACATTTTTAAGGTGTGTAGTGGAAAACAGACGTGAACGCAGCTTGAATGTTTTAAGAAGTCTAATGTCCATTCAGGTCCTGTTAGAGTTAGTAGTACTGAACAGATTTAAGGCAGTCAGCAGCCACAGAATATTAAAGTAGTCACTCATGTAATTTTGAGTTGTAATTACTTTAAAGGTTTAATTACACTGACTTAATTACACTGAGTGATAGAGATGTGTGCAAAAGCTTGAACACAATATTCAAGTTAAGCTTAAATATGACACTTTTCTGCAAATTTTAATGTACAATTTCAATTTATTTGCTGAGTTTAATATATTGGGGAAAAAATAAAAAATATAAAAGGTGCTATAACTTGCCACATTTTATGTTTTTTTTTCTGCAATACGTCAATTTTAGCAAATAAACAGTATCACAGTGCATTAAAATGTGCAGAAGTGCGTTCTCTGTGGAGGGTGTTTCACTTAGAAAGTCAACAACACTTAATTTGCATATGACTGTTTAACAGATGTTTAGATTTTACCGATATTTAAAATGTACTGTACTCAGGAAAAGCTGAATGTTTAAGTGTTGCTGGGCTTATATTCATTTTACTGAATTAATAAGTCTACAGAAATAAATGTTTTATTTCTCTGTAATGCTAATCTATGTGGATTTTGTCCTAATTTCTGCATTTTTATTAATGTTTATGTATCGGCAATGTCAGATATGCATATGTCATGTAAGTTTCACAAACTTCTGACTTTTGATTTTTTTTTAATTTTTTTAACTTATTTTGACTTCTACTAACTTATGCAGGTTTACAGTGTAGCCTTATGAGCGCTGCCCATCAGTTAAGTGTTACTCTTTTTTTTTGTAAGGGAAGCTACGTATAGCATGTCTCTTGGTCATAGAATTAAGGCTGATTTTCTAACTGGCACTGGCACACACTTCTGACTTCAACAAGGTTTCATCGTAGTGCTACACATCACTAATAGTGTACTGGTATTTAAAAAAAAATAAATCAAAAGAACAAAAAAAAAACAAAAAAACAACAGGTACATGTGCACACATACCCCAGTGTCTGAACTGAGTTAAAAAAACAAAACAAAAACAAAAACAAAAACAAAAAACAAAAAACAAAACAAAAAAAAAAACTGGACAAGCACAGAAAAGAATTTGCCCGAGACAGGTACATTCTTTAAAGCATATCTCCATATGCTTGGACTCCCACCAGGACAGGAATTCAAACATTCATTGTTTCTCGCCGTAACTTGCTGGACGATCTTCTTTGAAATTGGTCTCAGCCTTCCTCTTGGGATTACCCTTTTATCGCCATGGTTACGGATCATGTTTGAAAATCAGGCATGCGTCCTCGGTTCTCAACCTCGCCCTCCGTGCTTTCCACCGAGATAACTGTGAACGTCAGAAGCCTTGTGTTTTCAGTGCTGCAAATATATTTGGTTATTAAATCGTTTATAAACACGTCGTCATACATATAAATGGTTTCAGTTGGTAAAAGGTGACGTAGGGTGCAATTAAAACCCACCTGCCAAACCCTAAAATGATTCGTTTTCACCTTAGCTACCTTAGTTTGTGGCAAGTGTAGCATATTAAGGGGTGTCAGTTGCCCTCCTTCCAATCTCTATTAGCTTGTTTTAAAACCATACAGTATATGTTCTGGTCAACACATCTGTGGAAGGGGTGGTTGACCTTCTTTGCCAACTGCCACTGGGAATCTTCCCACATTGCAACTTTCTCCCAAATTTAAAACAAAAGAAGAAGAAAACAAAAAAGGAAAACAAAAAAACAAAACAAAACAAACAAACAAAAAAAAATACTGAATGCTGACCTTACAGGTCAGGCACTGCAGTCTCTTAGTGGTAGATGTGAACGTGTTTGAATGAACGCTCCACAATGCTAAAAATGGATCCTCTATGCTACAGCCGCATTGATACAGTGCTTCTATTAAGAACAGGGAAGATTTTGGGTGAGGGCCTGGAGGAGAAGACGACAGGGGTGTGCAATCCAAGCAGATTCCTGAAACACGCGCACACACACACACACGCAAACACATACACACCACACCGCATCCCCCTGGCCTGGCCCTTGTTCCGGCCTCGCTGCGGGCCGGTCCCTCCTGTTCCATGAGTGGCGCATCCTAGTGGCTGAGCCGGGATCTGTCACCTCTTCTGCAGGCTGCGGACTTTCTGCGAGAAGGTGCGCATGCGCGGCGAGCGCGAGTGCAGCTTGACGAACAGCTCGGGGAACTTGTACTGGGGGAACATGGTCTCCAGGAAGCCCTCGAGGAAGACGTAGGCTAGACGACGGTTCAGCTGCTGGTGCTGGAACATGTCGAAGACCCGCAGGATGCCCTTGCGCGTGGTGTCCGCCCCAATGATGTGCTTCAGCTCGTCTGTGAGGGAGTCCACAACAAGAGGTTGAAAACAGATGTAGGGGAGAAGTTCTTTAACACGTCTACCACACTGGTCCTGCATATTTAGGTGCTCAAACCAGAAAAACTGTGCTGTTTTGTGCATGAGCGTGTTTTATTCACAGGTCACGGTTTCTCCAACAAACCCGGCTGGTCTGAAAGTGCAGTGCGAGTGAATTTTATATAGTCATGGTGGGTTTTTGTTCTGACTACTTTTGCAAATGCACTGCAGCCAGAAAAAGGAGTGAAAATAAAAATGAATCATCATATGAATGTATACTGATGATGAATGATATAAACCTGCAGAAGAACAAATGTGCATCTAATATCACAAAAAGAGATCTCTGTAAAGAGTCCACGGCGACGAATTGACACAAGCTTTGTAAGATGTAGAGATTGTTTTAATACATATTTTGTGCTTTTTCACACCCTTTTTCAGGCGTTTACATTTGGGCACATTTTGTTCAGTTTCAGCTTCCGGTAAGTTCTAAGTAAACTTTCCGCTACCTGTTCTGTTTCACACTGCGGGGCGTGGGAGACGTGGCCAGGCCACGGTTACAGCTCGTGTGCACAGGTAATTGACACATCCAGCATTTGCGCTGCTGAGCAGAACAGCAAGAAAGATCTACAGATATCCTTTTAGCCAACAGATAAACAGTCAAACCACGTTGCTATCAAAAAAACACTTTGTTAACAGTCATGAATGAGAGAATCTGCGTTTTTAAACGTTTTGTTTGGTTTTCTCTTTCATTTTCATCGACTCATAGCTTATTACACTGTCTTTTGCTGCATGATTTTAACCTATAGTTGAAAGGGAGTAATGAAATTAAGTTAGTTAATAGAAGTTAATAATAAAACAGTAATAATACTTTTTGGCACTAAAAGAGGCACAGTAACAGAACACTTGCCTTCCTGCCATATTCCTGACCCTATGTATTTTTTGGTGCCCTGAAGTTGTTATGAAATGAAAAACCAACCAAGACAAATGAAAAAGATGAAACCCAAACTCTTGTGTGGATTTTAGCAAATGAACTAGGTGTGAAAAGAGCCTGAAACGTGCAGGACAGGGTACTCCAAGACCAAGACTTTACCACATCCTGTTCAATTAAATACAATTCATGAAGGTTTTGGCAAATCGAGAAGCAAAATCCTCGAATGCAGTGCCTTCCAAGACACCAACTGTATGAGTCAGACAGATGTTATCTCTATGTAAACATGTACACACCTGGCATGATTCCCAGGAGGATAGTCTTAGCTGCTACTCTGGTTCTCATGCGGATGCTCTTGTCTCTGCGCGGCGGAGTCTCCGCCAGGATTCCGTTCGGCCAGTAGGAATCTCTGTAAGGACACCATGAGAAACATTTTAGTGTTCCCCGTCATCAGCAGTACTGCACTTTTTGAAACTTAATTACAGCAAATTTACCTAAATCTCTTCACATAGTCAGCTACTTGTTCAGGAGACGTCATGAAGTCTACATGATCCACAATTTTTCTAAAATGACACAGAAAAAGAAATTTGTCACCAATCATCCTTAAACAAATAAATAATTTAAAAAAAGAAAGCAGCGTGACAATAAATCCTACAGAACATTTTATATACAAATGTAATACATAATATTTACAATAAATTGAAATCATAAATGCATTACAATTGCTATGAATATGACTGTTGAACAATTAATCACATTACTTTGTGAAGTTATTTCTGATTTTAAACATCTGTCTTATTTGCTCAAATCTGAATAGAGAGATTCTCTCCTTTTAAAAAGCAGTGTATTTGGTTATAGTGATATACATGGACAAAATAAGCTTAATCAGAACGTAGTAATTTCGTTCAGTAATATAACATCATTTAAAAATAGGGTTCACATGAACCTGAACTCAATTTCTGTTTTTTTTGGTAGAGAGCAGCAGTGGCTGCATGTTTTAACTACTTCAAGCTCTCATACCACCACAACACTACAATCAGTTATTTACACACAGTTCTCTCAAAAGCACTGCCCAGTCCTCGAGCGCCAATGTTATATAACGTGATATTACTACTTTTAATTTCGAGGTATTTACATAGAACTTCAGTTTAACATAATGGAAAAAATAAAACATAATATATAAACTGTGCCACAACTTTTGCACAGGTTTCAATTTGTTTATTTCCCACCCCCTCAATATGTTAAATTCAGCAAATAAACAGTAACTGTGCATTAAAATGTGCAGAAGTGTGCTGTCCATAAAGCATGTGTACTTACTTTCACTTAGAAAATCAACATTTGATTTGCCCAGGGATGCCCAGACGTTTGCATACAACTGTAAGTGTGTGTGCACACATGCATGTTTGTATTTTGTACCTGTTGATGGTGTCACCATAGGTGGCTCTAATGAGCTGTTGCAGAAGATTCTTGATGTTCCTCCGGAGCCACTGGTTCCTCTCCTTCAGGTCAAACACCTCATCCATCAGCAGCAGCATCACACGCAGTGGGATGTTATCATCCACCTTCACACAGCCAAGGACAACCACAACCACACTGCTCATTAATCAAGAGCTACTTGTTGAACTGAGCGTTTCTCCTTTACAGCTGGAGAATGTCTATGCTGATATGGTGCATACTGCATGAGCTGTTTATGCCTAACCTACATTAGAGAAAGAGTCATGCCATACTGCCTCAACTTTCCACATTTCACTCTACATGAGGACCTTCAGCACCTTCGTAGAGTGCATAAAGAGAACGCAAAGGTCAGCGTACTCCTGATTTGTCCTTACAACACTGTCTAACGTGACTTATCACACATGCAGAAATTCCCTTCTTTTAATAAAAAAAAGCTGTACTGTATAGATTGGCCTGCAGGGGGCAGCATGGTCACTCACATTGTCATCCAGCTGGGCAGACACTCTGCAGTGCTCAGGATCGATGTCTGACTTTGGAATTAAGGGCGGCACCTGAGGAGCACAACATCTCTGATTAGCATCTCTGAGCCAAAAAAAAAAAACAAATCTATAAAGTGAATTTAATTTAATTAGAATGTATCAGTTACAACTAGAAACACATGAGATACATTCTCAATTTAAAATAAAAACAAAAATGGTTGTTTAATGTTTCTGGATCTGTCAAAAATGTATAAGGAGACAGATTTCACAGCGATGAACAAGAGGGTTTTACTGATCTAAATCGAATCCAACCCAAAGCTTTAATTCTCATATATGCATAATAACAGTAGTTTTTCACAAACATATTTTTTGCTGCACACCTCAATCTTTTTAAAAACAGCAGAACGTTTGAGTCAACCAGCCCTAAATCAAATTACACCCTCCTTGACCTCAAGTGTAATTTTTGCTAATGCTTAGTTATCCATGAAAGCCAGCCTGAGAGTCTGATAACTGCTATTAGAAAAGAATGTGTAGAATGACGATCCTGCCTTAAATATGGACTGTTTGATATCCTGGCCCAGCCTCTCCGACATGCGGCCCATGTTGTCTGACATTTTCGTCATTCCCTCAGCCAGACTGTCAGGAAGTGACTTCACAGCGTTCGACACGTTACGCATGGAGCTACGCAGAGGGTTCACAAACGTGTCCATCTAGAACACAAAAATATGCACTTAAATGAATCAACAAGTAATGGAAGCTCATATCCCCAAACAAGCACTGTGCAAACTGCATATCGTAATCACCACATGCTGGACTTCTAAGTATCAAGTGTCAAGAACAATCGATTATTTAGTTCTACTTGAGCCACAAAAAAGTAAAATTTTCTGTTTTAAATCCGCAAAATTAGATTTGTATTTTTATTGAAGTCGACACTGAGGAAAATCCACATCTACTTTCACATGAACAAGCATAAGTGTTGTCTCAACAACCCTTTTTTCCCCTCAAGATGATGCTGGATCAAAGTCAGAAGCATCATTTATAACAGATACTACAGAATGCACCAGGTCTCCTCAGAAAGTGAATTTAAGCATAATCTAACTGGTGTTTTCAGCATTGTACGTATCAGAACGCCACAGAAGAGAATTTAACGCAAATAGGAAACGTAGCAATATGTCTAGGTCAGGGGTCGGCAACATGCGGCTCCAGAACCACATGGATTTTTTACTGCCCCGTTGCGGCTCCACAGCAGAATTAGAGTTTTAGGTAAAAATGATAAAAATAAACAATCCTCCTTTGCAGTAACATAAAGCTCTGCTAATCGTTTTAACATAGTTTTAACAATAAATGGTCTTAAACGCTGGATTATTGTATAATTGTTAATACACCCTTTAACACTGAAGACTGGCTGGTCACACAACAACGGAGACAACAATCTCACCTTGCTAGCAGCTGATGAAAGGGCAAAGAAGAGAAAGATTTAAAATGTCGAATGGACAGACTTATTTGTATTTATAAGCACTCCAGCTGGTTTTCCAATATGTTTAATACGCAGGCAGAAACTGTCAAACGCTATAAAGCTGTGAAGATGAAGTCGAATGTGTTCGAATTTTCCATTCCCCCTTAAATGGTGCAGCAGTTTCATTCTGGCACCTCAGGCCCCATTTAAGGTGGAACAGGCAAATTCGAACAAGAAGCTGGTGAATGAGAAGTTGACTTTAGCCTCGTAAAAACTTGAATGTTGAGAGACATTTTACAAGAAACTATTCTACTTTTGGGGAAAAAATCCTGCCAGAGATGCAAGAAACGTGCTAAAGCTAAAGATTAAAGCAGAGCAAAGTAAGTCAATTTTTAGCCTATTTTTAGTCTATTTTAGGACATTAGAACATACTGAGAAATATTTACAGCCAAGATGGTAAAATGTTATTTCAAAAAAATGGACATAAAATGTTGTGGCTCTCAAGGTGGAATGTATTTTGTTGAAAGGTCAAAATGGCTCGTCTTTACATCTGGGTTGCCAACCCCTGGTCTAGGTGTTAGTGCATCACATGTAAGCAATAGAACATGAGAGGGAGTGTGTTATCGCGAAATAACATCACGGCTGTGACTGAAGGCGTCACGGACTGAGCCATAAAACTGCCACAATATCAAGTTTAGCTCGGTTTTGTCAATTTTTTGCCAGATCAGTATTAATGTTGTTTTGTTCCAGCCAGTCTGTAAAGCATCTTACAGCCCATTTAGTTTGGCGAACGGTGTTGGGTTCATTTCTGGCTAATTCCAGGTTGTTCAGGTGTTCTTCTGTCACAGCTGCCGAAAAGCTTGTTCAGTGGTGATGACAGTTTCGGAATTCGGAAACGTTCAAATGTCTTGAGCGTCTCCTACAGCTGTCAAAGTCGTTGCTTAGCAATGGCATCTCAGTGGAGTGATACAGTGTTTGTAAAAAAAACCTGATGTTATGGCGAAATAACAGCACGGTTAGAATGCTTCTCAACCAATCAGCTTGCGTGGCCGGAACTAACTGTTGTATAATATTGCAATAAACGATAATACTTCTTGACCATGTGGTTACAGCTACACTCAGTCACGCCCTGAAAACACTCTCGTTGCAGGTTTTGTAAATTGCATGGATTTTTGCAATTAGAAAAAAACACTTTTCATGATCTTTAACTGAGGAAAGGGTTCAAGGAAAGGCTGGATGCACTGACTGCAGTACAGAATGGTGAGGAACAGGTTTTTGAAGGCTTTTAGATATAAATAGCATTCGGGTTTGGATCTGAACAGGCAGGTCAGTAACTCTCTCTCACCTTCCGTGCAAAGTCACCCTTGCCCTTGCTGTAGGCCTTGTTCTCCAGGAAGTCATGGACGTAGGGCGTCAAAGTGGGACAGGCTTTCACCATCTCTGGATTCAGAAGTAGCTGAAACACAGACAACGCCAATGCCACAAATATCCTACAAAGCCAATATGCCCTTTGAAGAGATTCATTAGTATCTATTTAATCTATAAACTGAGCCCACCTGCAAATAAGCATTGAGGTCTTTTTTCCTCCTCTCCAGGAAGTCCCTGTCCATGTTGTTGAATGTTTTTTTCCCAGGAAGTTTTAATATAGAATTCAGGTTCTCGAACTACAGTCAACAGAGCAACATTCAATAAGCAGAGAAACTCAGATTGGCCATTAGCGGTGCTGCACAGAGATTAAAATTCTTGGCTGAAGTCAAAATTTAGGACACAATGGAATTAGAATATTTAATTATTTGTATGCTTTTTAATTAAATGTAATTGAGAACTGAGTTACAGGGTATCAGCTTTAGCCCATATAGCACTTTAAAACCGTATTCATCTGAAAAACAAATAAAGCAAATACTGTACAAAGAGACTAACCTGCATTTAATTTCCAGTCAAAATGGCATTGAGGTCTCATTATTCATTTATCAGCATCAGGGGGAAAAGAAGCAGAAAACATATTTGTATATGACGACTACATTTAATATCAATTATTTCAGTATTCATGGTGTCCAACTTTTGCCTTCATTACAGCTTCCATTCTTGCTTTCCAAAAAATCTGCAGTGATGTTTTTCCACACCTCCAAAGTTCAGTCTAGCATTTTCTGCTTCTCACGATCCAACTAATCCCAAACACATTCAGTGATGTTGAGGTCTGGACTCTGGGGTGGTCAGTCCATTGTTCTGAGAACACCAGCAGCTTCCTTGTTTGATAAGTCTGTCTCCTTTTCTCAGTGAGGTTCTTCTTGACAGCTACACATCGTTTCAGACCCATAGCGCTGAGTTGTCGTCTCACAGTGGAAGGATGGATGTGGATGTTTCAGATCTGAAGCAGCTTGATTTTCTCCTCTCTCTCAAAGATGAAAGCTTTAAGTGCTGTTTATCTGATGGGGACAGCTTTGGTGGTCTTTTGTCAGTCATTTGGAGTTCTGTTTTCCAATTTTGGAAACTTCTGTTTTTTTTTTGTTTGTTTTTTTAAATTTTCCTTTCATTTTCTCCGTCCTTATGCATTGGATTATCTTAAATCTAATCTCCTCGGAAATATCGCCTGATAAATTAATAACTTGCACATAATGGGTGTTTTGACTGGAAATGAAATAAAGGGTGGTCTCTGACTTTTGCACAGTACTTTATGAGACTAGAGAACAGTGATATTCACTCCAGTGGCCCCTCTAGCACCTGGTGTGTTGAAGCAGTGGACCTGCTGTCAGGTCTTGCAGGTGTGGAGTGGCTGATCAGCTCCTGGACTCCTCACCTGTTCAGAGATGCGCATGTGGAAGTCGTGGAAGTCACTGTAGCGGCGGTAGGTCTTCCATGTGTCTTCACTGCCATCTGGGTTCTTGCGGAAGACAGTGATGGTGTAGAGAGCGTAGGTCTTCCCGTGGTCATTACACACGCCTGGCACAGGAAGTTGGTTTAGAGAAGCATCAGCTACTACTCGGTATGAGCAGGGGGGGAGGTGGCCGAGGTCAAGAGTGGGGGGTGGCCGAGGTGATGGGGAGCCCCGAGGTGAAGGGGTGAGGTGCGAAGGGCAGCACGAGAGGGGGCAGACACCATGATATAGAGGAAGAGAGAAGCAGAATGTAGAGAAAGAGAGAGACCATGTAGGAGAGAGTGAGAGCGAGCGAGAGAGAGAGAGAGAATGCGAGAGAGAGAAAGAGAGAATGCGCGAGAGAGAGAGAGAGAATGCGAGAGAGAGCGCGCGCGAGAGAGAGCAATCGAGAAAGTAAACACAAAAAAAAGTAGGCAACAGAGTTAGAAAAAGAGCGAGAGAGCAGCACAGAAAGTAAACACAAAAGAGAGAAAAAGAGGAGAAAGATCAGTGTGTGTGTGTGTGTGTGTGGGAGAGAGAGAGAAGCAGACAAGAAATAGAGAGTGAGTTAGAAAAGGAGGAAAAAAGAAGACAGAGGAATGTAAGGGCGAAAGATACAGTGAGAAAGAGAATGAATTGAAAGAGAGAAAAATGTAAACGAGTGAGACAAAGATGAAGAGAAACGAGAGCGTATAAGGGAGTGAAAGGATTAGAAAAAAAGAAAAAAGATAGAGGGTGTAAGAGCAAGAGAGAAAGTGAGAGTCAGTAAGAAAATGAGGAATAAGAGTAGAAAAAGAGTTAGAGAAAGAAACAAAAAAGGAAAATAAAGAAAGAAAAACAAAGAGAGAGAGAGAGAAAGAAAGAGAGAGAGACAGAGAGAGAGAGAGAGAAAGGAGAGAGAGAGAGAGATTTGGGAAATGGTAGAGAGAGTGGCAGATGGACAGCGAGCAGGGAGGTGAGATGTGGCCACGGTGACAAACAAGTCAAACCAGAGGGAGATGGCAAACAAAAGCACAAGAAGAGAAGAGAGAGAGAAGGGAAAAGGGAAAGCAAAAGGAAAAAATGGAAGAACAGAAAAACAGTAAAAGGTGATGGAATAATAGTGCTGTGAAAAAATTTGTACACACACAAGGAAAGAAAGAAAAAACAGCAACAGCAAGTGACTTGATAAATGAATCTAAGGCTGCGTTCACACAGCAGGTAAAAGCGGCCCAAATCTGATTTTCTCAGCAAAGCCGACTTTTTAGTTTGGCTGTTCACAACATCTTTTAAACGTGACCTGTATGCTATATTGGTGTGAACAGATCACATCCCTAAGCTGACCTGCCTGCATAAAAGAACAATGCTTCACATGACGCGGTCATCCAGAGGTAAACGATCAAAATGGAGTCAACAGTAACAGCCACTTCCGCAGGTTTCAGTTTCATCTTTGCCAGCATCCTAGGAGCTAATATGAAGTTCTGACGCGTTTGATAAAAAGGGCAAGATATTCGGCCACTTTGATTCACGTCTTTGGTTTCTTTAAACTTCGCTTTCAGACTTTTCATTTTTCTTTGACACTGCAGCCTCGTTCTCCTACGGCCACGTTTGGTAATTCCTTTCCAAATCTCTTTAAACACGGAGTGATTTAGCTAAGTTTCTTCTAATTTTGTAGTGAAACATCACCCTAAACGTTTATGAGGTCTCAGCAGCACGATATGTTGATGAATGTCGATCTTGCTGTTCAGACTGAGTCGCACGGCTGCATGTGGCATGCGCATCAGATTTCAGTACCACCTTTAAAAGTGGCCCAATTCGGAATTGAAAATGTCAGATTCAATGTATTTTTGCGGTTCACACTGCCACACAGACAACACACCTGTGTCACATATGAAGGAAGATCAGATTTGGACCACTTCTACCTGCTGTGTGACAAAAGCCTAAGTGTAGCTGGAAAGAAGGGAGGATGAAATGACCGTATGAAGGTAGAAAATATGGAGGAATGGCTAATGCAGGGAGAGGAGAAGCGCTGCAGAGAAAAAGCCTCTCTCTCAAATCAAAATTTCTGGCCCGAGCAAGCCAACGCAAGTCTGCTCAACAGTGTGTTAATGTCTATGATTACATATGCTACAGTCTAACTCAAATGCAAAGTATCATCTAACAGGTGCAACTCGAAAGATGTACAGGTGTAAGGGGTGTACATACCAGTATCAGAGATAAAGGCGTGTAGTTGCATGGACTCATCTGTGGCGGCACTGGTGAGGTCATCCAAAGACTAGAAAACAAACCACAGAAAACAAGGACATTTTAGAAATTACACAAGAGCAAAAGCATGAGGCAGTTGGAGAAAACCACACGAAAGGCATAACTTCACCTACCAAATTGATGCTGCCAGTTGGAGATCCATTGAAGGACTCTGTAAACAGAAAAAGAAAACAGCACTGAGGAAAGAGCTGTAAAAAATGGGGATAGTACAGACTTAGTACAGACTCTAATGTAGGTTCAGCATCTGATGCACTGCTCACAGAAATCCACAGGCTGATCTGCTATATACAGTGCACTAAGTATATTAATTTAACACATCTAATACAAATACAGCTACAGGCTAAAGTTTAAATACCTTTTGTCAAATTATGTTTTTTTGATTTTCTAAGTGAAAATAAGTTAACACATCCTCTACGGAGAACACACTTAAATATGACATGTTGGGGCTCCCGAGTTGGCCCTATCATCAGGAGATTGTGAGTTCGAGTGGGTAGGATGGCCCCCCCCATCTCCCCAATCACTGAACATGACGCTAGTCAGTGTAAACGTTTGTTAGCTGGCGTAACAGATCTGGCGGTTGGTGCTGCGTGAGTGGTGGTTTGAAAAGATGTGGTGCCGCTTCACAGGTCTCTGAGGAAGCCTGTGCTAGCCTTTCTAAGTAGTGGGTGGAACTGGACATGACTAAACTGGAGAGAAAATTAGGGGACCCCATCTCTCACTCAGTCACTCACTCACACACACACATACCCATACACATACATATATATATATATATATATATATATATATATATATATATATATAAATAAATGTGCCCAAATTTTTTCACAGGCCACACACTACAAGTCAAATCCAGCAAATATACAGAGGTTGTGCATTAAAATATTCAGAAGTGTGTCCTCTGTTTCTCTGTAGAGGCTGGGTTAACTTATTTTCACTTAGAAAATCAATAAAACGTCAATTGACCAGGGGCACCCAAACTTTTCATACGACAGGATCTTATTAGATACACTAGATTGGCCAGCCACCCTTCCATGTAGATGCACACAGGTTTTAAATCAACGTGATTGGAAGCTGTTAAGCACAACTAGTTACCAGTAGTTGCCTGCACTGCATAACAGGACAAAAATTAGCCTTTGATTTTCATTCCTGGATTGAAAAATGTTTGTGAGATTCAGGACATCACGTCTTTAGAAGTGCTTCTTGGTAACTGTTCTGCATACCTTGTATACTTTTTTTCACTCATTTCTTTTTTTTGTTGCAAAACTGTTTTTCAATTGCCTTCCTACACACCAAACAGAAATAGCAGTTTATGGGTAGCTTTGAGTAGCCACAGAATACATACAACGGTGTAATGTAGTTCGGATACAAAAAAGGAAACCGTATTCAGTTACAGTTACAGAGAAAAGCCAGTGATCAGATTTCAGATACATCAAAAACAGAGTGATTACAGCAGGATTACATTATCACTCACACCAAACACATTTTTTCAGATGGCAAGTGATTATTTCATTCGTCCTCTGCTGTGTTTCTGCAAACTTTCGCAGGCAACATGCACTCTCACTATCAATGTTTATTGTCTCGGTGGTTGACGATTTTAGTTTAGTTTAGTTTATTTTACACAATTAAAAATACACACGAATAGACTAAGATAACACAGTGCAGGGAGAGGCAAAAAACCTAATAGGCTTATATAAAGCCTCCACCTAAATAACAAAAAAATGATAATATAAAGAAAAATACAAAATAATATACCCAACATAATAATGACATAAAACATACCTCAAATAACTTAAATATTAAGTAGTGTATGTGCACAAGAGCGTCCACGTATATATGAAAAATAAACACATATGTTTATGAAATGATAGAAATTTATACAACCATTTTACCTCCTGAGCAGTAGTAATAATAAACATCAAAATAAATGAAGCAAATAAAACAAGAGAAGAACAACTCCAGTACAGATATTAAATTAGCAACATCCAAGCCAACTAGATGGTTGGGTCCCAGCAAATGCAACTTCTAACAGCATCAAAAGGACTAGTTTGTCTCCCAAATCAGCTCAAATGAGGCTTCAGACATGTTATTGCTTTTCCAAAAAAGGAAAGGAGCCTATCCAGTGGCGCCCTTTGTCTTTTTTTATGAAGAGCCAGCGACGCCACTTGAACACATTCTGCTGTTTGTTTTTAAGGGGTGAACAACACAACAAAATGACAACAAAACAAAATTCATCCACATGCCTTTTTGTCACCTTACACAAATAAAAGTGACTGCCAAAGCAGACTCCATCACCATGGCAACATGTTTACATGTCTGCATGGCTTCACACAGTGATGCAACCACTCTTTTTTTTTCCACGGGCAATATGTAAACACAGCCTCACCCTGCTCCACTGTTCTTACTGGAAGTTACAATGAAGTAGGCTAGTTAACCTGACAGTGCTTTCTAGCAACTCCACTGGCACAGTTTTGACTATTACATGCAACCTTTTTCATTTTGCTTCATTTGTTTTATTTGTAGTTTTCTTGTTCAAAGCCATCTTATTGAAATGTGTTTGAATTTGTCTAATATAACTTTAAAAAGACTAGTAATCTAAAAGTGATTAAAAGTAACCAGATTGTGGCTACGTTCTCATTACAAGCCGATCTCTCTGACACGATGGTTCACACTCGTTTAGGTAAGTGACTCAAATCTGTCATTAATGTGAACGAACAGGCGTCCTGAAATGACCCGCATGGGCACATCCTACTCAGTAACGTCACGTGAATGAATCTCGTGCGTCACGTGGATCATCAAACAAACTAACGAGCAGAACGAGCTTCGCTGCGAAGATAATTAACTCTGATCAGCTTTCAGCTTCATTATTAGAGTGAGATGTGTTGCTTTTTTGCCGTTTACAGGCTTTAACTTCTGTTCGGTGCTGCTGCCATTGTAACGCTGAATGATGGCGCATGTGCAGTGGAAAAAAAAAAACACATGAATTCCAATCTGAGGATTCACATTAAGATTGCATGGCCACAAATCGGATACGTATCCGATTTGTATCACATATGAATGTGACTCAGGTCGGATTTGAAAAGATCAGATCTGAGTCACAATGGTAATGTGAACATAGCCAAAGTTATTTTAAACAGTACTCCGTTAGATTAGGTTCGTATTATATTTATCAACATGTAATCAATACCGGAATACATTTTTTAAGTAACCCTCCCGGCTCAGTCTCTGGGTGGCGCTATTGAAGTAGGCGGGTGCTAAAACCACCACATTCTTTGGTGATCACTATAAGCCTGGCTAGAGTAATTCTGACGGAGTGTCATGAAGGACATGCTCACCTATGTCTCCATCGTCTGAGCCTCGGTAGCTCGGCTCCTTCAGCATGTCCAGCTCAGCCAGCATGCGCACGTACAGAGGATGCTGCTTAAAGGATGGGTAGAACCGCTCATCCCTCAACATCATATCATACACCTGTGAAAAAGAGGCAGATAGAGAGAGAGAGATTTTATTTATTTTTAATTTATATATCAGGAGCAATGCACGTTGATTGGTTAAGATTAAGATTAGCACCCGGGGAGCATTTGGGGGTTAGGTGCCTTGTTCAAGGGCACCACAGTCACGTACTTTCGGGTCAGTACCTTCTGGTCGCAAGGCTGGTTCCCTGACCTCTAGCCCACGGCTGCCCCCAGTTAATGTTTAACTGTAGAACTGTAGTCCCTAAAGCCTGATGTTATAAGCCAGAAAGCATTTAACTTAGAAGTGGGTGGTGTGTCCAAAAATATCATGGTATAATAAGACTGTTTTGGTATATATCACAGAATGCAAGATTTCAAATTAAATCATTTTAAATGCTTAAGGGATGTCCCTTCACTTTTTGATGAGAACCACTTTTACCAACCAAAGTAAATCTGAAACATTTTTATTGTGCAAAATACTAAAAACAAAACTGAACAACATACAGATAAACCTATGTCAATATTACTTTGTAACAAGCTCTGTTGTTTCATGTTTTAATTTCTACAAGGCTGAATTTGGCTTCTAATTGGCAAAGTTCTTTGTTCAATTTTTCTGTTCCACCTTAAATGGAGAAGCAGTTAGATTCTGGCACCTGAAAACAACAGTCATTTGCCTCATATGTGCCTCCTGTGCTCCCTCTGTCAGACATTTGGTAAATATTAGTCATTCATGGCTTGTTGTGTGCACTACACCCCGAGAGCACAGTGCCGTCCTCAGGTGGTGCGCATGGAAACAAGCACAGCAATCAGTCTGGTGTCCATGTCAGGCTAAAGCTAACCTTAGAAGACCGCTGCCTTGAAAACAAAGTGGACTTGTTCAGATATAGTGGACTAGACAGCAGGAAGTGATCAAGGTTGAGTTTTCATTTTCATTTGAAACGTGACAAACATCCCTGGCTCAGCCATTCAGCTGAATGGACCAACGTTAGAGTGGTCTGCACACTTTGTGGCATAACAGTATGACCAAACAGTGGTTAAACAGTTATGACCAAACCCATACCTGAGGAAGTAATACAGCCAGTATGCCAGCTAATTCCACTACTAATTCAACTGAAAGACAGTTTACATACCGTAGTAAACATAATAGTAAAAGAGAGAGGGCACTAAACCAAGTTTCAGTTTTGTTTACCTTTCTCTGAATGTCGTCAAATATCTCTGGGGTTGGATCCTCTTTGTTGAGTTTTTCGGTCAGTCTGGCCAGGGAGGCCTCGTCCACCTGCACTCTCGGTGAGGCCTGATGACAAGAAAGCATCTGTTAATCTTCACATGGTTTCCTTCCTTCTCCTAGGTCAAACATCTAGGACTGAACCTTTTCAAAAGGCAATTTATGGGCATTTCAACTAATCCCTAGTCGGCAGGTCGCCTAAACGCACTAATCCAATTTGAGCATTACAAGCTGCTGTCTAAACAGAGCAATAGTGCAATATATAGGCCATCTATCTACTGGCTTTACAGCCTACAACGCTCATTATGCCTTGAAAACAAAGTGGACTTGTTCAGATATAGTGGACTAGACAGCAGGAAGTGATCAAGGTTAAGTTTTCATTTTCATTTGAAACGTGACAAACATCCCTGGCTCAGCCATTCAGCTGAATGGACCAACGTTAGCGTGGTCTGCACACTTTGTGGCATAACAGTATGACCAAAGAGGGGTTAAACAGTTATGACCATTATGTGTCAAACACGAAGTCATATAGGCTAAAGGCTCTTGGTGCATTCACACAATAACACATAAAAAGCACCCTCGAAACTAAGCCAAGTCCCTCTCCACTCATTATTAATTTCTGCCAAATGTGGGATTTATAATGCAGCTGATTAGCCAAGACATGTTCGGTGCCTGACATTTGCTTCTTTAACTTTGCAATAGAGCTACCAGGATTACATGGCTCACAAGTAAAGGAAGCTTACATCTTCCAACCAGTATGACGCAAACTGCATTCCTAGCAATAACAAACCTCAAAACAAAACTTAAGTAATCTCAAATAGATTTGCTTCTATGGTTACTGACACTGTATAACATGTCACTGTATGACTGTTTATAAAATGAATAAAAGTGAGAAAGATTCAGGCTTTAAGATGCTATTGCTGTTTAAGCTGATCTTGTGGGTCACTGGACTAACCTTCTCAGAGAGGTACTGTTCATAGACGCCCAGCGCAGCCGCCTTCAGCAAGCCTTTCGTCTGGCTGCTCTGTTTCTTGCCGTCCTTCTGCCAGCTCTGCATGACCTCCAGCTGCTGCTGAGCCGTCACCCTGTAACCTTCTACTGTCAGCCAGAAGAACAGGTCTGCTTGGCCCCCCATCTGTTGCATGTAGTCTGGAGAGAGCCAGAGGTAGTGAGTGTAAGTGAAAGAAGTAAATGTATGGTTTGGAAATAGACTGATGATGATGATGATGAACTGCAGTAAAAGGGTGGATAGTTTCAGAGCTTTAGTCAGGCCTAAGGTTTTAATCTAAACCCATATAAAATATATTCAATACTAGGATAGGGTATCGGAATGGCCACAAATCGGATACGTGTCTGATCTAGGACCACACATGAAAGTGGCTCAGGTCGGATTTGAAAAGATAAGATTTGGGTGTCCACACAGCCCCGAAAACATCAGATCTGAATCACATTAGGGCAAAAAATCAGCTTTGTGCCACTTCAACCTGGTAATGTGAACATAGCCTTACATTCCACATGTCAGCACATAATCATTACTTCTTGATAAGGCTGTAATCTGTTATGGGTCATACATTTCCCCACTTTCAGCACCTCACACTCCTTTCCGGTTTAAGCTACACCCACTTGTTTGCAACCTAAGAAAAGGCTCTGAATAAAGAACCATTCATGTAGCATATCAAAGTTGAGGAATTTGGATCTTTGAACAATATTCAGCCCTAATCAATACTAAGCTTAAGACCCACATTTCAGAATTTTACTCATCAAACAATCATTCAATGCCAGGAACATGTTAAAAGTTTTAGTCTGTATAGACTTTACATAACATGGCACTTTTCTTTCTGGCCTTGGTGGAAGTCATCACCAACAACTTGACTGATACAGGTAAGCCAGATTAAGAATTGCTTATAAAAGTAGACAAGACGGAATAACAGTACAGTGAACGAATAACGTAAAGAAAACTAAATTATGTAGATAGTAAAGTTCAGATGTGCAACACTCACCCATAAAGAACTGCAGAGCTATGTTGTGCACCAAGATATGATCCAATGGGATTATACACAGCTTCCCAAAACTTGCAGCAAGTTTCAAAGCATCAACTTCCTGTAGAATCAGAGGTTACCACAGATTATTTTCAGACACACTTATATCCGATCAGCAGACCACTAAACTTTAGCATGTGTTTTTTTGTTTTATATAGGGGTCCTTACCTTCCCTGATTGTAGCCTTTGTATCCTAGTTTCGCAGACTTTTTTCACAAACAGTAAACTGTTGATTTGATTCTTTATCACATTGATATCTGGGGAGAAATGCAAAAAGGTGGAGTAGGGATAAAGGATGAGATACTGGACTTGTTAATGTCCACTGTTGGATTTTATTTATTTATTTTAATTTATTATAGTTATGCATGGAAAGGCACACTCCCATAAGTATGTCAGTATATGTCTATATGTGAGAGACTGTATATGTCTGACATATTGTAGTAAAGCATTATGATAAGAAGAACTGATCATACAGTTATCAGACAGGTTTTAATGATCTGAATTTCTGCTTGAATGGCTTATAGAATGTGATCTGATCTTCATCCCAGTCAAAAAAATAAAGATAAACCCTTCACTGTATAGTGCCTCACAACTGAATGTGGACATACTGAATATGTGTGACTGTGACAGTCTCTGAGAGATTGTCTAGAGCAGCAGACATGCTCAAATCCAGGCCTTGAATCCAGTTTCTGGACCTAGATTTTGGAGTCATTAGTAGATATGACAACAGGTAAACAGGCCTAACAGTTCAACTGACCATTTGCTGACATGACTGACAAGTCTCTCAGCCAATCAGAACAGTCTCTAAACTCTACTTCTTCTGTAAAGCGAAGAACAACTTCAGCAAACCTCATTAAAACAAACCCGCAGTGATAGCGATGGTGGCCGTAAATTAGGGTTATTTGGCTAACAAATAGTGGGAAGGAGTTACTGTGGGTACTAGGTTAACAAAGAAGTCAACATTTATAAAAGTGTTTGAGTTTAAAAGCTATTTTTTATTGTGATAGTCGTACAGGATTGTTTGATGTGAAGAAAGCTGCAGTGTTGCTGCTTGGTTTATCTCAGCACAGTAATCTTTGTGGAGAGGTATGAACTGTTTTCACAGAAGGGGTTTCTCACTCCCCTTCTGATCACTATATTCAAGATCTGGATTTGAAGACCCATGTAAGCCAGCATATACACATTACACATGTGCAAGTCTGTGCTTACCGTCTCCTGCAGTATCTAATGATCGCAGGTACTGGAGTTCCTCCAGCACTTTGTCTTTGACGGCCTCCAGTTCAGCAGGCTTGTCTGTCAGCTTAAGGATGTTCATGAAGGCTTCGTAGTTGCAGCTGGAGTCCCGGAGCTACACACAAGCACACAAGGAACTTACGTACACACACATACGCAAACATGAGCACACAGCACGCACGCATGCACGGATACAGGACACACACAACCACATGCTCACGTTTTGGAACCTCCCCATACCCAGGATCACCATAACTCCAAATGTAATGTCAGGCAAAAGTCACTCTTTTCACACTGCGTTAATTGTCCATACGGCTCAGGTGTTGAAGGTCTTCACTGATCATTTGTCACCATTTTTCAGATACTTTTGAGTCCTTTCATTTCTGCATAGGTTAACAGCTGATTTGGAAGCTGACGCACTCCCAAACCCTCATACACATTTTAGAGAAGGAAGGGAGGGTCAGAGAAAAAGCACATGGCCACTCTATTGCACCTTACAAAGATGCCTTGGCTGGAAATACACACATCATGGGAAAGAGACTTACCATCCAGATGACAAACTGATTGATATAATCTGGATCACTCAGTTGGTTAATCAGCGGTAGCAGAACTCCTCTCGCCAAAATTTCCTAGAGGGAAAATACCATTATTTCAGCGCTTCTATATAACTGTTAATGAACTGCATGTACTTCATACATTCAACAGTTTTTAAAGACCTGTTGACCCTATTTGGGGGTTTGATCCCCCACTGCGAAGGTTTTACACTAGATCATCACAAAAAGAAAACAATATAAAATTAAAGAAGGACGGTTTCAAATCATGTTTTTAAAATGTACTTTAAAACATTACACTATATATTTCTTACTACAATACTTCAAAAATACTATAAGGAAAATAAGATTTTAATAAGTTACAGTATATGTTTTCTCATTAGTGGGAGGGTCAAATCAAACATCCATATGGGCCAACTTTGGCCTGCGGGCAACACTTCGGGCAGCCTTGCACTAGATGCTTGAACACTGCTGTGAGGATTTGGGTGTAGCTAAAGGAAGCTGAATTCACTAATTGTAAGGGATGTCTGGACACTTTTGGAGTGCATTAGTGCAGCTGTAATTACCTTTTCACATTTATATAGATGGTGAAAATGTCACCATCTATATGTGAAAGGTCAACTTTGCACTGGCAGCAGTGCAGTAGTATATCGCTGCTGTCAAACCAAAACCTCATATTTCCAAAATGGTAACTTTACAAAGAGAAGGCAAAAACATGCTTTACTTTTAATGCAAGTCATTGGAACCAGACATTTTTCCAAGTAATGCTGGAATTCCTACTAGTCCATTTATCTTGAAATTTACACACAATATAAAGAACAGTGGGTATTTTCAAATTATGTCAAAAACTGAAAAACAACAAAAATGGAGAGGTTTTGGTCTGACAGCAGCGATATGTTGTCCTGGTGTTTGGTATTAATTTAAGCCTCACCCTGAGGAAGTATCTCATGTTCTTGTTGTGGAAGTCTCCAGGAGGTAGTAACAGATACAGCAGCACCTCGCACAGATCCCGCAGAAAGCCTAGGACAAGATTATGTCATTAGAAAACCTCAGGGCAACGTTAGAGAAACACTAGCACAACATATGTGATGCATCAGTGAGTGAGGTGGTAGAAGAAGAGTGCATAAGAAGGTATGATACTGAGGCCAAACTGTCATAAAACTATATCTCAGGCAACAGGCAGCATATTCATAACTGTTTCATGTAATAACTTTGTGAGGGAGCTTTTAGTTGCATTAAACTCTTATTACCTCTTATGACATCTGGTTCCAATCACCAACACTGTAAACAATTCGGACCAAACAATTCTGTAAACATGCACAACGGTACATTGTTTTTTTTGTACTCAATTTTCCCCTCAATTTAGTCGTCTCCAATTCCACCCACTAGTTAGGACTCCCCTAATTACACGATACCACCAACGCTAGGAGGGCGAAGGCTAACACAGGCTTCCTCTGAGACCTGTGAAGCTCCACCACATCTTCTCAAACTGCCGCTCACGCGATGTCACTGGACAGCCGAACGCGCTTGGAGGAAAGCACCAACCGCCAGATCTAACTGCCAGCTAACAGATGTCTGCGCTGACTAGTGTCGCACTGAGTGATGGAGAGAGAAGGGGGGGGCCCCTTGGACTCTCAGCCACGGACGGCTGCACAAAGATATACTGTATAGCTAAAAACAGTAATACCGGTTATCTTTAAGTCAGCACCACTTTCTGTTCAGTTTCTCGCTGTGCAAGTATCAGAATCAGGGAGGAGGCTTTCAAGATCTGCTACAGGCTGACCAACAATATTTTGCAAACATCAGGATCCTGATAAATTCTGTGGAAACGATTTCAAAAATAAAGTTTTGCTTTGCTTTTGAGTCCCAGAATGCAACGGTGATTAAACAAGTTCAGTGGTTTTTCTATATGCAACTGCCACCTAAGCTAGGCTACCTACTGTGGTTTACAGGGCTGACAACTGCAGGGCATGTTAGAAGAGATCTGTATGTACACTACTGTTCAAAAGCTTAGAATCATTGTTTTCAATCACATTACAGCAATTTTGTTGCAGATATATGTATGAAATGAGTCTAATGTGATGCATGCGAGTGTGAGTACAACTTTGTAGATTTGATTAAAAAAAAAAAAAATGGAGGAGAAAAAATTAAGAAATTTTGCATGCAACCAAGATGACGTAGATAATTCCAGACTAGGCGAGCGGTCAAAATTAATCATAGTTAAGTTATAATAAAATGAACACCCAGAATCCCTCATATTTTAAAAGTCATGACCAAATCTTGAGGCAGATAACCTGACAAGAAACTACTACAAATAAATCATTATGGAATATTACTTACAATTGAACCTATATAGTTTTCACTAATTAAATCCTCATTGAATAGATTTTTAATGTATATAACGCAACAAAAATTGACAAGTTATTCCAAACTTTTGAAGGGCGTAATTCTAATTTGAGCTTTTTTTAAAATTGCAAATTTACATTTTTTAATACAGAATCATTCTGCTCTTCTATGAAACTGTTCATATTGTTATAGCCAGCAATTCTAAGGTATCACTGAGGTTGTGATGGTAACTAACGCTACAGTGTAGAGTATAAACTTGTACAGCGGCTGTGAAGAGCAGTTCTGTCTCCTGTGCAGAGAAATCCTAGCCTAACCCTTCCATCCTGTGCTGCAGCATGCGTTCCCATATGTATCTCTGTGGGTCTCACCTTCCTCGTCCTTGTGGGAGGTACACACCATGTCCCTGCAGATCTTCCTTTCCATCTCCACCTCGGCCTCAAAGAACGCATCCAGCAGCTCCTCTGGGGCATCACCTGCACCACAGAAACAAAGATCTATGTTTATTGCAGGCGTTTTTGTTCAAAGCAAGTGACACAAGCATAATCAAAGCAAGTGGTGTACAATAATGTTTCCATTTCACAAATGCTGCTAACAGCTGTATGGAGTGCAAGGCAAAAGGTGCAGACAGCATAGTGCAAACTACAGTTTAACAGGCTATAAGCAGCTTCCCGAAGGTTTCAACAGGTTCTGTAAGACAAGTCAAAGTGGGTAGCTTGTGCCAGCAATGAGGAACGATGTACAGCACTCTACAAAAGTCAGAGTACAAGATATTGTTTTTTTTTTAGGAGATATTTCTGAGGAGGTTAGATGTAAGGTAATCCATTTGCATAAGAATGGGGGGAAAAAAAATCAAAGGAAAGGTGAAAAAAAGGAGTTTTTAAAACTAACGTTCAAAAAAAGATTGAAAACTACAGAGAACACTGGACTCCTAACCACCGTGTGAGTCCTGGTAGACCACCAAAACTGTCTCCATCAGATAAACAGCACTTAAAGCTTTCATCTTTGAGAAAGAGGAGAAAATCAAGCTGCTTCAGATCTGAAAAAAATCCACAAGTGTTTCTGTCCATCCTTCCGCTGTGAGAAGACAACTCAACATTGAATTTGAAAGGATGTGTAGCCGTAAAGAATCCTCACTGAGAAAAGGAGACAGACACATCAAACAAAGAAGCTGAACAATGAACTGAAAGTCCAGACCTCAACATCACTTGATGTGTTTGGGATTACTTGGATTGTGAGAAGTGGAAAATGTAACCCACTTCTAAGATGTGGAAAAAAAAGGTCTCTGCAGATTTCTTTGAAAAACTGAAAGCAAGTTCCCTGGAAAAGAATGGAAGCTATAATAAAGGCAAAGAGTGGACACAACACAAACTATATTTAGTTGAGACTTTTCTTTTAAATTTATGTTTTCTGCTTTTTCTCTTAACACTAAAAAATGAATAACTTGTACTTAATGTCTGTTTCCTCTGCAAATTAAATAAATGGAGTGTGGTCTCTGAATTCTGCACTGTGTATGTCAAGTACAAGATATTTTCTCTCTCTCAATGCTCCCATGGCTCTGGACTAAAGTGGCCCCCTTTATGAGCAGGAAAACTTGAGCAGCAAACCACTCTTATCTTCTGGAACAGCACCAAAGACACTGTCCTGGGCCCAGACCCAAAAATAGATCCATGCAGCAGCAAAAAACAAGTCTATTCTTGTAGGCTATTTTATCAGCTAAAACACTTTGTCCCAAGTCAGAGCTCTCCAGCTGTACCACTAGCACTAAACACAAATTCCAGGCAAAAGAATGAAAGTGATGAAAGTCCACCAAAGTATGGCACATTTTCTTAAATTCTGAGTAAGCGTGGCTCACGTTGTTTGGGGTCGTCTTTCTCGTTCAGCCTCTCCTGGGCCTTTCTGAAGATGCGGAGGTGGGTGGCGAAATCGTCCACCAGTCTGGTGGTGAAATAAGGCTGCCAGTCCACCTCTTTGGACCTGAATTAAAAAAAAAAAATTAAATGTCACTGTAGCACCCGCAAAACAAACAAACACCTCCTTCCCAAGCACATTCAAGGCAGAATGATATCACGGCTACTCATCTACACAGCCATGCGTACCAATATCTGCGCCCACATATAAAGTTTGTGTTCGTGATGTTTGGTACATTAAAGTGTAAAACCCCTTTGTGCAAAAACAAGTCGGATGGATGTTAACTGTAAATTATTTTGTGGCACTTAGTTTTAACAAAGATGCAATGGAGTAAAATAACAATGCATTCCAATTAGAGCTGGGCGATATGGCCAAAAATGTTATCACGATAAACAAAATTCATATTGTTCGATATCGATACATACCACGATGAATGTCAAATCTTTATTTCTTTCAAGTTTGAAGGCCGATTTTTAAGTTCTGGGGGGTTAACTGCTGTTTTAAACTATCCTTTATGGTCGGAACACGACAAACACTCACCAAACAGTGGGACATTTCACAAATCTGTCATGGGAGAGTGGGAGAAAGTGTCTGGTGAGCTGCTTTTACCAGCTGGAAAAATTTGTAATAGTCATAATTTAAGAAAGAAAATAGATTATTTTTAGCTGGTGCCGAGCGCTCGGCTACCCCGCTACAAATGACATCACAGTATTCAGACACCAGCTAGACGACTGGGTTTCTCTATACTATCGTAGTAGTTTAAGGGGTGAACCGCAAAACATCAACACCAGACAAACTGAGTCCTCCTTTTAGGTACGTTTAAACTGAAAGCGGTGCTTTTGTGTCTTGTCTGATGTACAGTATCATCAGTTCTCTGTGCTGTGTGAGTGACGGAGCGCTGCTTCAAGTTACCCAGCTGCTAAAAACAGCTAGCCTGGAAAGCTAGCGCTCTCCCGCTCTCCAATGCCTCACAGTTTCCTCAGTTTACTTTCGTTTAAATCAGAGCTGTAATTTAGATGAAACCACTTCTTTCTTTCACTTTCGTTGCTCGGGAATGCACTAAAATATGACTGTCCGAGAGCTGTAACAGCGCTGTGAGGATGTGATTGTGATTTAATGCTGCTAAAGCTTGTTCGGATGTATGGAAAGAGGTGAGTTCGCTGTAGGACAGTACAGTTACACCAGGAGAACAGATCACCGGTCGCTCCACTCAAATGAAGAATACATAACTCCACATTTCAGCCGTTGCTACCGACTCATCTTACTCGTGGCCCCCTCCCTCTCTAAATCATGTCTAAAAACTCAGAAGTGCGCCCTCTCCTGGCGACAGCAGAGTAGTGTCGCTTTCCCTGCAGTAGAAAACGCCACCAAGGCTTTCGCTGAATGTGCAAGTGTGAAAACGGTGTATTATATCGAACATTTATCGAACACGTCGTATCGCTCTACCGAGGAAAAGTTATATCGCGATAATTATCGTTATCGTTTTATCGCCCAGCCCTAATTCCAATACAGAATACAGTGATATATATGAAAACCGTGCTGACCACAAGGTTGCCTGGTCAGTAGATGTGACACTACACACGAGTGTACAAACAAAATATGAATGCACCTTAAGGTACAAACCAACTGATCTTAGAAATAAAGAGCCATTTTACATTTAGCTGCTTCCAGCACATGTTGATAATGTGGCCATCTCAAACATTGATGTGCATTAAAGCTACATTAAAGAGTATTTTGTCATATAAATAAAAACACATTGAACTGCATCCCCTGTTAACCAATGCATTTTGGACATTTTGTTCTTCTAGGACAATGCCACCTAAATCCACAAGTAGGTGCTCAGCATACATATCATGTATTCTCAAAACTTCATTGTGCATGAACCAGTGACACCACTGATAGGTAGACCTATTTAGACATATTTTTGATTTGACCTTTCTAAAAAAGTCCCCAAGCCAGTGATATCAGGGTTGTACACTTACTGTAAGTGGTGCTATAAGCCAAAAAAGTTCAGTAGCACAAAGGAAATTTCTGTGACTTATTTGATCTACTTATCTCAACACGCAATATGTCAATGACAGGCTACGCTTATGAACGTTATGTTTTAACCCTCTATTGCATAATGTTGCTTCAGGGCAACAAACTCATTTTCCTCAATTTACAACGTCATTATACATATTTAAAGACAATCATAGGTTTAACTATAAAGAGAAGAGTTTGAGTAAGTCAATAAAAAGCATGTACTTGGTCATACTATCTCTTAGTGGGCACATTTAAACCTCTTTTTTTAACATTATCATTTTTTTTTGAGAATTTGCAGAAATATATTTGTTGTCTAGAGGCAACATACTCCAAAAGGACCCCCGCACACACTATTATTATTATTATTATTATTATTATTATTATTATATGTTTTTGAATTTAATAAACAGGTCCAAAAAAAAAAATCAAAAACCATTTTTACGCAAAAAAGTGAATTGAATATATATTTTTAATTGCTCTCAATGTGTGCAGTAGACGGTTAAAATTGGACTGCTGGTAATATTGGGCCTCGTGCCTGCTGGCATTTCACCCACTACTCGACAGTAATGACGGAACAAAACCCTGATGGCTAGGTCATAAAAAAGCCAGGGGAAATCTTTTACCCACTGCAGGCTGAATCAATTAATGTGTGTGTCAGCTGAGAAGGAGGCTGTCCTGTCAGCTGTGCTAGCATTTGAGCTAACATTAACCATGACCAGGGAAATATTAGATACTAAAGGTGACTCATCATCTTCTAAATGGGGTTTTGTTTCCCTCAGTGGATGACATTTCAAGATGTGGGCTTATTGAGGCAACATCTAAAACTTAAAAATACCCTTCATATTTAACTTCACCCATCACTGTTAGTTTAGCTAGACCTCAATGACATGTCTGTGACAATGCATTCTTGGCAATGCAAGCCGGCAACAGGCCAGCACTGAGGCTCTTATAGTTCACAGCAGGATCGCAACATAATATACAGTAAGTTAGATAGTATATTGTCGCACTGTACAGCCCTGAAAAACTAAGCTAAAAAATGCTGTGATGTGAAGACAGGCGTCTCCAAGCAGCTAACCAGGTAGCTCACATTGTTAACTAACATTATCATTATCTAACATTATCTGATTAGCTTACTTCTGTCCAAAGCATATACATTTGGAATGCTAACATGTTAGAAAGTCTGCCATCTGAAACACACCATTCAGTTACCTCATATGAGAACATGTCTATTTGTGTTATTCAGCTTATACTGCAAGTTGCACACATTGCTTCATTCGGTTACTAAAGAGCTGTTGTGTCTTTTGAGCTAGTCAGGAGAACAAAGGCCCAGTCCCATTTCTTATTTTTACCCGTACCCCTTGTTTTCGAGTGTCACCTTGCCCCTCGGAGTGGCTGAAATCTTCCCCTACGAAATGGGACCCTCAAATAATAAAGAACATTACTTCATTAACAGGCTACTAGTGCTGCTCTGTAGGCGACCCTATCAGTCTGCAGTGATAGCAGAGGAGGGTAAAGTTCAGAAACCTCACTGCTGGGCTTTAGTTACATTTAGGGCATCATACGCCTTCAAAAGGGGGGGGGGGTTAGGTTCTTTTTGGAATTTAAATGGAGCAGCAGTTACATTCTGGCGCTTCACGCGTCAGTATTGCTGGACTATTTAAGGTGGAAGAGGAAATTTAGCTAGCGAGTGACTAAGACATAAGCATACTATTAACGTTTTTTTTATGCTTGTTATGAAGAACAGGAGCATAATACATGGAAATGACATTAAACTAAGATAATACAATGGTTATCGTAATTTTTAAACGGAGAAAATGCTTGTATTTGTGGGTTTCTTTGATCTCTTGCGCAGCCATCTTACTTCTTTTTTTCTCATAACACTGTTTGGATTGTTGCCTCTGAAAAACCTCCATTTGGAGGGCCATGTAGCCCTAACACTTCACCCGACCCCTCTATCTCGACAAAATCAGGACACCCTACCCCTAGACATGAATGCTCAAAACAGAGGGCTAAAGTTCAAGTGATAGGGGCAAGGGGTGAAATGGGACTGGGCCAAAGTCTGGTCAAGATGTCTTCTCAATGCTGTGAGCACACCTCATTTAACTTAATGAAGGATACATTTGCCAAACTAGGTATTGGATGATAACCACTGGGCTTACGGTTGGAAAGGTTTGGAAATTATTAAAAACATTACATACATAAAATCACTACTTACCACATTAATACTATATGTATTTATTTTAATATTGGTGTTTTTCTGGGCAAATAAACACCTTAAAAAAAGCCTTTTAATCTAATTTTCTTAGATGCTTAATACTTCAGCACTGTACTATATTTTAAAGCTCAATTCAAGTCATCATAGATCACAGTTTCATTTGTTAATGGTCAGCAATGGCATGTTTGTCCGCGCTTGTAGAAACGTTTGAAGCTCCTGGTTTGAAAACAAACTAGGTCAAGCAGGTAGATTTAAATATTCAAGTGATACTTTCCACATTTGAATGAATATTATTTTGAAAGCCTTAAACAGTACAACAGATGTGCATGATGGAAAAACTGAAGACCAAGATCTGCACCACTGTAAAATCTGTTTGGACAGATAAATGGCATTAAACTGGCTAGGAGACAGGCAAAAATGTCATGTGTTCCTGCTGCCCAAAAAACTCATACTAAAATGTACAGATTGTAGCCTTAAACACTGGAGTGGTGGTGAGTACAGGCATACCGTGTGGAGAACTGGACGAGAGCGTTCTGCACTGTCTGCCTGATCTCCAGCAAGAAGGACTCTTCCTCACTGAGGGTGTAATACCAGTACTGGATATAGTCCCTCAGGGCAAACTGGATCACCTGCATGAAGAGAGGGGCACGTTAGTAATCCAATTCTGATGAAAACACAGAGAGATTGAATCAGGCAATTGAGTCTCTACTATGCACTGAATCTGATCAACACTAAGCTCTGGCAGATCACTATCTGTTTTTACTGGACCATGGGGGAAGGTTCTCATCGAGTTCGGTGGCAAAGGGCCAAGATTCTGAGCTCTGTTAGGGGGAGAAGTACTCTGGGTGCATAACTGAACGTAACTTAATTTGAACCGGTGGCGTCTGAAATTCGTTCATAGGTTCTCGTGGTCTATGCTGAGTGGAAGTATGTGGGACACAACAGAGCTTGCATAATCCCTCAAAAAAGGTCATGCAGTTACATCTCAGGATGCCTGTGGCTGTACGAGTGCACGTGTCTGAGGAAGTAGGGTTGTCATGATAGGCTGACTAAAATCGATACTTGATTAAAGAACGTAACTAATTTAAGTTCACCTTCTTGATACATCAGCAGTGATTAGATGGTAATTTGCATATTAACTGCACATTTGCATTATAATATTTGTTGTATAGTTGTCTGTGTTTTTTCTATGCATAATGAGTAAGTCAACACTGTTGATGCTTTTTTATTTATATCCATATAAACCCATATTATCATATTTCACTTACATCTCTGCAGTGTCAACATATCATGTATATTGTCTATAGAATCTTGTTTTATGCGATTTATATAAATGAAAGACAAAGAAATTCGAATTTTGATTTTAAACTCTCCTCATTTAAATGTATATATGTATATGTATCTCATCTCTTGGTCTGAGCTATATGGCAAATATATCACAATACTTTAAAACATTTTCACGTTAGGGGATATGCATCACAATATTTCATTTTTCTGAGATTAAATAAGTTGGAACAGACAAAATAAAACCTGCAGTGCTACATATAAAAAAATACTACAATAAACAAAACTAAAATGCTTTTTATTCAATATTTTACAAACTTCACTGCACTAAATCGAAATAAACAGGTCTATTTATGCTTATTTTGTAATGAACCGTAGTTAGTCAGTGTTCTTTACATACTGATGATATCCACAATATACTCAGAAAAGCGTATTGTGACAATCACGATAATGATAAAATATCGTCATATTGTCCAGTTGTTTTTTTTTCCTACAGCGAGATAAATATCTAAATATATTTTATTTACTATTCAAAAAACTGTTTTTTATTTAAAATCGCTGCATAAAATCGCTCTGCCATGGATAAAAAAAAATGCATGTTTTCGGCCAAAATCTAATCGTAAGGTTACCTCAACTAAAACAATGTCTCAGCCATCAGGTGTTATTCATAACCATTGCATGTAATAAGTAATTTTCTGTGAGGGAGCTTTTAAAGACATTAAACTCTTCAGATGTCTGGTTCCTATCACCACCACTGTGAATAATTCTGATACGGAGCATTTCTCTTCAAACCACTCTGAATGAGTGGCATTCGACTTCAAGCTCCTTTTTATTTTTAGGTCTTAAATAACATATTCAAATAATTAGTAGATTACTCGATTTCTAATATAATCAATTGTGACAGCCCTACAAAGAAGTATGTGTTTTTCCACCATGTGTACTACACACACAAATTAGGCTGAATTTCAGCAGAAGACAGAAGCTGGCACTAGAGGAGCTCCTTACACAAAAGACAGCTGACTTGGCACAAAGTGGCCAATCGAATGTGCATGATTCGTAAGAAGAGGACAATGAACTCACTGATGGTCACCCACACAAGGTCACTCAATGCAATTTCTTCAGAGAATCTGGCCACTATATGACCCAATTACACAGATATTACGGTAATCAAGCATGCAGTGCTGAAGGGTGTCTCCTCATAATGAGCAACATGATGCAAAACTAAAATGCATTCAAAAACATCTCCAAAGCAGATCGGAATGAGGGAAGGAAGTTATTGCGTTTCGTCAAAAGCCTTTCTAACCAGAAAGTGAAGTGTCTGCACTATCGGCTTAAGCAGAAGTCCATCCACACGCGCGGTTGCCTCAGAGGGCATGTGACATTTCTTTATTGCCATGTCATCACCCTGCATGACGCTGGTTTCGAAACGCAGGCTTACACAAAAAGCGTGAGTCTGCACTTCCCAGAGCTTGTGCAAACGGTACCTGTTGCATCGGCTCATCGATGATGTTGGATCCCGTCAGACGCCGGTCAATCTTTATTGGCTTTATCTCCTGCTTCAGCTCATCCAAAGTCTGAGGAAACAATTGAAACACCGCTTTAGATCTGGACGGCCAGATTACTGCAAGATTTACTGTTTTCTGTGCTTCCCTTTCAAGTGTTTTTCAGGAATAGTTTTGTAAAAATTTATACAGCACCCCAAATGCATTTGATCTTCCAAGACTTTTGGCTTCTTTATTTTTGTACTGTAGCTATGAGGCTAATGCAGCTAACAAGTAATGGAAACGTATTCCCAATTAATGTAGTGGACATTCACACCTCACAAGTTAGCACTGCGCAAACTGCATGCATTCATCTAATTTAGATTCGCTATTTAAAGACTTGCTTTATATGTATACAATAAACAAATACACTGAAAAATATAAGCTTTAGTGTTACTGCTACTGCCTGTTTTTAGAGATAACTATTCAGCTAAACGTCCAGTTACAAAACACACATAGCTCAAAAACTACTCACTCCTGTATGAATGTATGAAGCAGTAATGACAACTGTCCCAACAAACCTGCATCATCATAAAGAGCTCTTTAAGAAATTAAATACGTATTTTTTTGTTTTTCTAAGCCTATATTGAACATTAAAAAAAATATTAAAAATAATATATATATATATTAGTTATTCTTGTTTTTAGCCTGACTGTCAACACAATAAAAAGAGCTGTTCAGTGAATTCTGTTTTTAGATTGAAGCACCTCACTAACCACGTTTACATGCAGCCTATTAATCCGTTAATAATCCAACTAATAGCTCAATTGGAATAGAATGTGTCCATGCATACACCTCAATCTGAATAGTCTAGTCCAACAGAGGCTACTCGGAATACAATTTCTATCTGATTGAACGAGGTGGGTAATCCCCTAAATAATCTGTTAAATAGAAGAATAATAACCATGTAAACACCTGTATCTGATTACATTCCCAATCGGAAAGTTTAAGCACGTACTGCACATGTGCATAGCGTCATAGCGAAAGTTTATAATGTTCCACAAATAGATATACATATGTATATCTATGGTTCAGCATGACAGGAGCAGAAACTGGTCGGCAGAGGAGACAAAGTTTATGCGCTGGACTTGAAAAGACGGCGGTGGGGCGGGCGTCCAGTTTATGTGTCTCAGAACACGATGCCTTCCTCTCGCTGCGTCCTTAATAAGTACATGTGAGGTAAATTTTTCTGAGTTTGATATATTTTTTAAGCAATTAAAAACACAAGCGTGCCAACTAAAAACTCATCTCACTCCGACTGGACCTCACGTGATGTTCGCTGTCATGGTGACGTTTACTCTAAGCGGTTCTCCATGTATGCGCGTCAGTTTGGATCGGATTACTTGTAGTGCGCATGTAAACGAAGATTTATGCATTCAATCAGATTGGCAAAAATCTTTGCGTGTAAACACAGCCATTGAATGCTCTCCCGTTTCGCAGGCTACAAATTTTCCACAAAGGGGGCACTATTAGCAGTCAAATAGCTTTTGATGCTACATAACAGCAATGCTTTACATGACACTGGGGCCCCTTATTCAGCCTTATACTGCACAAGAATGTGCTTGTAGTTCTGATGTAAGTAGCTTTTAGTATTTCATTACTTTTAGTGTTGCACAGTGGTGAATGATGCTTTGTACTTTTTTGGCTAATTGCTTAAAGGAGGGTTGAGTTAAATTTCTCTTTACACAGCTTAAAAAAGGCCATTCCACTCAGAAGCGAACTACTTTACTAATAATGTATCGGTTCTCATAATGCCATCGTGATATCTCAAGGTTTTATTGAACACCAAATTTTAGGTCCATACCGTGCAGCCCTGCATAACAGTATGTCATACAGCAGTGGTCACCAACCCTCCTCATGGAGATCGACACGCCTCATTTAGCTAATCAAGGACTTCTGAAGGCAATGATTAGATGGATCAGGTGAGGTCAATTACGGTTGGAACTAAAGTCTGCAGGAAGGTAGATCTCCAGGAGCTGGGCTGGTGACCGCTGTTATACAAAGAGCATGTCTATACAGAGTAACAAAGTGATGATGTAGGAAAGCAGTTTGCATAATGCTGATTGTAGCTAATGGAAGCTTATATCACAACACTGGCCTTGCAGCTCCCAATCAAAACTAAAGAAGCAAAGTTCGGGTCCCTACATTGTCTTTGTTGATTAATATTTGGGGAAAGGGGAAAACTGTACATTTGATTATTTGCTGAACTATTCCTTTCAAGCAGGGAGAGCACCAGAACTTACCATAGGAACATTACATTTTCATTAGGTTTTCAAATATGACGAATCACCATGTCAACATGAGAGCCAGACATTAAGCATTAGCCATTTAAGTGGCCAAGGCCCAAAGCTTTATTACACATTTCTATACCATAAGAACAGCTCAGCCAGTTTGCATTATAGTTCCTGTAGTTACTGAATAATAAGGATTAGCATGTAATAAGCCTGGGATTTTAAGGGGTTCAGGGTGTAACAATTTCAATTTGGGAAATACTGAATTCGAAACAGCACACTGGAATTTAAAACTATCACCGATTCGTCCCTCTGTGTCTTCAGAGTCTCTCGTTTGTCTTCTTTAGCGAAAACCACTGTCAACCAAAACTAGGTAGCCGGGTACAGCCCATCAAAGAAAAGTGTGCAGGGAGGGGGCAGGGCTTATGTTATGCACACAGCCATCCTTAAATGACTGGGCTTAATAAATCATTAGCACATTTTATGGGTTCTAATTATTTGGGGGTTTATTTTGTTCGAGGGTGGCATTAAAAAGTTATATCTAAAAAAAAAAGTACTTGTCAATCAGTGCAGTTTACTCTGTGATGAAACACAAACACCCAAATAGTGATTTCAGCATTCAAGTACTGGCACCTCGAACGGATTTCAGAGTACTTCAGCATCCATTCACACCCCTCATTGAGACACCACAATTTTGAATTATATCAAATTTAGAATTGTGTGTATTGTTACACCCCTATGAAGCATATCTTCAAGATTATATGTTCAGTATGGAAAGCTGCATAAAATAATACACACAGTACAGCAAAAATGTCCTCTATTGTGAATACAACTGTTGTACCTTTGCTATGCCAGTTGGTGTGGGAGGCAGATAGGAGTGTTCGCACTTCTCTAGGTGTTTCTCTGAGTTTGTCTTTCCAAATAAAAGGGTGACGGCAAAGCCCCTAAATAGAAAAATGAAACGTTTATTATCAACAGCACAGACAATAACCCCTGCAGGAGAAAGATAAGCTTATTCATATTCATGCAGGGCATCAGTGCATGAAGACGCTCGGCAGACCAGAAGGAGCCCCGCCGAGGGAAGAGCTCCCGCTGAGGCCTTCGGCTCCTTTCAGGGCTCATCTGTGACTGCGTATGATCAACTTACCCGCCAACAAAACAGAAGATATAAAACGCCAGATAAAAGATGGCAAAGGGTCCGAATGTGATGAGGAAGAGCACGACTCCTAGACCGCCCCATCCCCAAACGGACAGACTGGCCTGGAAAACACATGCACAAAAGAGGACGAGAAGATTAATAACTTTATAACTACATTGCAGTTCACCTATTGTCAGATAGGGTTGCATAACATATTGTTTGTTAATTGTTGTTGCAATATTGGCTTTTGCAATACTGATACTGCAAAAATGTTCATTAAGTGCTGAGAGCATCCCAAAACAGCCTCATGCTATTCGCCCCGTATGATCGTACGCTTCGATACACCTGCAAATTCAGCAACTTCCTTCACACAATGGCCTCCTTTTTCCCAATCATTAACATCTGCTTTGCGAGCCATTTTCCACACATCGAACGAGACATTCACTGCACTGTACCGCCTCTTCTCAATCTATGAATCCCATCACAAACCCTGCAGGTATTAATAGCCCGATCATCCTTGTGCAACGGCATCTGCAGGTGTCTGAGGTTACTACCACCTTAAACATGCAAGGTGACTAAGTTTTGGTCCACCTCTTTGTCATTAGTGATAATGGTGAATTATAAGAGGTGATTAAAATCATTTCTGCACTACAGGTCTGATAGCACTTTCAACATGACATCCAGTTCAATACACATAAAACAGCAAAATAGAAGTAGAAAGGAAAGCTCCTGCAGCACGCTAACAGTATCTGTAGCCACACAAAAAAATGCCAAAAGTCACAAAAGACGAAGAGCAAAGTATGTTTATTTAAAAGGAAGGAAAAAAGCTGTGGAGTGTTGGGGCTGTTCTACATGGTCAGGCCTGGGCTGGGCTGCTGGGCCTGAATGAGGTACAGAGCTCCTAATCTGAATGGCTTGATTAAGGGTTATAAAAGGCCTGAAGAAGAAGAGAAAGAAACATAGAGAGAGTGTACGTTCAGCCACCAGGTTTCCTGTTTTTGTCAGGGCAGGAAAGCCAGCACTCCGGTCTGCAGCGTCACCGCGTCCTCCTGACCCAGAGCTTAAAAGACACACACACACCCCTGTGGTTAAACACACGGTGTGAACTAGGACGGCTGTTTTCTTTTCTCAGCTGTTAACCGGAGCTGAGCAGCCTGTGAGTGCATACAAGTGCTTTTAAAAGAGTCCACATGCTATAATTTTCTTGTATTTTCTTTTTCTTCCCCACTGAGGTCCCTTATCACCCTTGTGTGAGTTTATATGGCAAAGACAGCCATAATTCATCAATTTTATATGACCACTTACATTTAAGTTTGTTCATGCACATTGACATGGGGTGTCCAAATCTTTACATATTGCTGTATATGGAAACTAGGCTGATCTCACGAAGCCTAGTTCAAATCTAAGGGATGGACAACTTTTCTTTATCTCTTAGATTTAAACAGGGTGTAAAAGTGTTGGGCTTTGTGAAATCACAGAACATTTCAAAGTGGGCAGTTTTTGCAGCCTAGTTTCAATATACAGTCATATGTAAAGACTTGGACATCCCAGGTTAGATTGCATGTTCTGTTGATTTTCTAAGTGAAAACATCCTCGACAAGGAACAAACTTAAATGTGTCATTTTCCTGCTAATTTTAGTAGACAACTTCTATTTATGTTCTGAACACTGAAACATTGAAAAAAAACAAAAAAAACCAAAATATAAAATACATCAAATAAAGACTGAATTAAGGTATTATATGTTTTAAACTCTTCATAGTTGTCTTTAAATGAGCACAGAGAGCTATAAATCAAAATACAGTAGCATGCAAAAGTTTAGGCACTCTGGTCAAAAAACATTTTGTTGATTTTTCTACACTCTCAGAAAAAAAAAAGTACAACACGTCACTGGGGCAGCACCCCTCGTCATTGGTGTGGGACAAAAATGATACTTTGAGCTGTATTGACTCCACACACCCCGTCTCGTCTCCAGTGTTTTTATTTTATTGTGCTGTTTTAAAACATTAGCTTATAAAAAGGTACAAATATGTACTTTTCAAATGGAAAAAACTTATTTAAGCTACACAATTAGTCCTTTAAACCACTGTTGTATATTTGAGGGAACATTTACATTGTTTGTACTTTGATGAACAGAAAATGTTCCTGCACAGACCCTTTATTTCTAACAGTGTAGGTAAAAATAAGTAACTGTTTTTGCACATTTTAATGCACAACTACTGTTTATTTGCTGAATTTAAAAATATATATAAAAAATTAAAAAAATGTTCTGTACAAAAGTAGTGTCGCAATCTACATTTTATTTTTTTCCCCCAATACTTTAAACTCAACAAATAAATAGAAATTATGCACCAGAATTTGCAGAAAAATTCACTATTTAAGTGTTCTCTGTAGAGGATGTGAAGTAATTTTCACTTAGCAAATCAACAAAGCATGTAAATCGACCAGGGTGATCAAACCTTTGTCTTCTTTAAACAATTTTACTGCATTTTAAAAATGCCAAAACACAAGATTTTGGTCTGATATCATGGCATGAATTTTTCCTCTCATCCCTAATCACTTGCATATATCTGCTCATTATGAAAACAAAACAGTACCAAAACAGCCCAGACCACTTCAGTTCCCATGAAGATTTGAAAAGATCTGCTGTCGGCAAGTGAGTAACACTGATTCCAAGTACTGAACCTACCAGACAGGAAGAGGGGTTGTGTGCTGACAGGCATTTGAGCAAGAAAGAGAGTAAACATTTCACTGAAACTGCAGCAGAGACAGAGATAAAGTCATAGTTCTAGGAATGGCTGAGGTAACCTTGGAACAAGAAAGCTCAAATCAGACGACGGCAAAGACGACGTATTAATAAATCATCTCTACAAGATGTCAAGAGAGTAGATGTATCCTAGATAACACCATACTGGGTGCTGACATGGAGATGGTTCAGGGCTCTGAAGGCCGGTGCTCCAGTAAGACTTTCACTACAGTTACAGCATGTTTTTTTTACTATTGACCAAAAACCGGCTGGGCAGAGGAATGACTCAGCTGTTCAAGCTAACGCCAGGATGTGTCAAAACATTCTCGAGGAATTTCTCTTACACAATAGCCATAATGTATGGTTATTATTAGTGGAGAAGGCAAACGCATTACGAGCACTATGTGGGTGAGGCTGTCAGAGGACCAGCCCCGAGCACTCAAACATGCCAGAAAAGTCAGTACGCTACACAAAGGTTAGATAAGACAATGGCTCTGGGTCACTGGTCTGGTCTCACTGCCTGGAGCTTTACAGAACAGGTCACATGTAAAATACATCAGCATTTCATTTGAAGACTCCCTTTCGAAGAGCAAGCGAGAGAGCACAGTGGAGTGGACACTAGATATTTGGGAACGATAAAGCTGAACGTGGAGATGGCACCAATTAAAGATAGCATAGATTAGTCGACCCTGGGAAAAAAGAAAAAGAAAATAAGAGTAGTGAATATGCAGGAGGTGAATACAGAAAGCATTTTATTTCTTCTGAACACAAAACTCAAAATACTTTATTAGTGTGGAAACCCCTGTCCACCTGGTTGCCTTAAAAATTTTAGGTTTAACTTCTTCTTGAACTTGAATCATAAGTTGACAGGACAAAAATCTGTTCCGCATTCTGTTATTATTGATTTATTTATTTATTTTATTTCATTTACTTATTTTTTAAGGTAATTTTTAAGTTCAATGAACTCAAAATTTAAATGCAATCAGATTACTTACTGAAACATTTATTCTTAAGACAAATATTTATTCATAACATGGAAACTGACCAATCACAGACCATTGTTTTAGCCATGTGGGTGCAGGCGATTCAAAACAAAAGCAAACAAAACAAAAGGAAACAATGCGGAAAGCGTCTCTCATTTACTTGCTTCTGTTTCCAAAAATATTAAAATTCTTGACCTTTTAACGACAGGATAGGATAAACTTTGTGAACAATTTTCTATACAGCAACCCCAGCACCATCCGATACCCAGTACTGTACAATACCAACTGAAAATGTGAGATCAGATGTTGGAGAAAGAAAAGAATGAATCTGTGTTGGAAAAGTAAAAGTGGTACTGTGCCATCTCCAGCTGAAAGAAAAGCAATCCGAGGACATCTAGTCAGGTTCCTGGAGCACGGCTTCCCTGCAGACAGAGCTGTTTCTGACTTCTACTTTTAATGATTTCAAGATGTGGCCCACTCAGAAGAAGCAGCACGACTTCTTCATCTTGGAGCTTCAAACCGGGTTTGAAAGGAGTGACTCACCCTGCAAAACGAAGAAGTTCGATAAAGTTTTTTATCAGCTAAATTCCCATGCTGCAGCACACTCTGCTCCATTCATCTTCTCTTCACACAACTGCCCTGTCACAGGCTTCTTGCAGAAATGTTTCATGGAAGTTTGATCTCTTCCTAGACTCCCTGGGTGGGAGTCAGGAGTCAGACAGCACGGTTTATTACGTCGAGACAGGAGAATCTTTCAAAGACCACTGACAGAGAGAAGCTGCAGTAAAAATAAAGCCTTTGCGACTAAAACTGCTCTCTGTATGTAAACAGGCGACAATCTACAAGTCTACAAACTAGGGATGCATCGATATTAAGACTGGTATCTGGTATCAGTCCGATACTGTGCTCATTTACTTGTACTCATAAAAATTCCCCACTACCAACACTGAGATACCAGCTGATACTGCGTGATGTAAGCCAAATGTATGCTGCCACACTAATGAACAAACATAGTGAACAAGGCTCTGACTACACAGCAAAGTGACAGTCGGACACAAAGTTGCTGATCACTTTAAACATTCAGCATTGGTACATTCCCACCAGGCATACACTGTGCGACACACACACACACACACACACACACTTCCCCAGTGGGACTGGAGACATGTAGGCTAGCAAAACAGAGGCGAAAAAGTCAACATTTGCTACCAAACTCTGTATAAGCCGAATTTACTCTGTTTAGAATAAACATTATTACTGTATTTTTTTGGAAAATAGGCTGTTGGAAGACCATATTGTCTTACTGGGAACATCACTGCCTAGTTTTAGCTTCAGTGCACAGTGTAGCACAAGTCAGCAGTGCTGCTATAGCTCAATTTTTCAGCATGACTTTTA